GGGGGACCGAAGGAATGCGCAGGACTGACGAGCGAAATGATCCTCTGGCACATTCCCGGATTGGGCTACGACTAATCTGGCTGGTGAGTAACTGGGATGAATCAATAAAATGTCACGCAGAAGCTCCGGGTGAATTAGATCAGACTCAGCTGCTTTAGAAGGGTTCAGTACTTGTAGCAGCCTAAGGACTTGCGTTACCAGCATAGTAAATTCGGCTAAATAGGAACCATCTAGGGCTCTGAGGACAAGCTCAAACTAGTCACATACAAAAGCCCCTGTGTACTTCTCACTAAGTGCACAAGCCTTGTAAGAATCTGCATAGATATGAGTTCCACTGGCCCGCACCAAATCTGGAACTGTCGAATCTGAACCACAGGATTTCTGTACATAAGCGAACAACTTCGGAATTTCCGAAACACCACCTGCCAATCCCTTTTCCTACAAAAGCCGAGCATTTCCCAAGTGTTGTTAACATCTATTTCTGGCCTCGCGGTAACTATCGTAGGTGTTAGTTGATGAAGCGGCTCGGAAAGTCCTCCAGCATTGTTGATCAGGTACCTGCCAGTGGTATCTATCCACGGGGGCTGTGCAAGTATCTCTCCTCCTTGCAAGCAGGATGTAAGGGGTAGACATTTCGGTGAGATATGACTTAGATTTATCCAAGGCTACCTGAACTGAGATTTCGCAAAGCAAACCTGAAGTCTTGGTATGCATCGATTGATAGTTCACACTCCATATGTTGGGATATAGCTCAACAATGCTCTGGTGACGTCTGGACAGAGCCAACCTGAGTGATAAACAGAGATGATCACTGGCACCTAAAGGAGAGGCATAAGCGATGTCATCCACGAAGATGAGTGACTTTGTAAAAACAAGGTCCAAAAGAGACGGTACTTGGGCGTCATTGTACCTAGTGGGTTGGTCCACGAACTGATGCAACGATATGTCTAGCGTAAACTCGAGAAGTATTTAACGCCAAATTGCAAGAAGCTGCCCAACAAACATTCGGTAGACTGAAATCACTCAATGTCAGACACCTATTTGCGGATTGGGAGCGAATAAATTCAAGCACCTCTTTGGATGCACTTCCAGGGCTTCTATACACAATTACAGCTGTAAATCGAACCGAGAAAGTGCTAATCACTGCCGACAGAGCTTCAACAGTTTTGTCTACCAACCGAAACATGTGCGTCCTCAAAACGTCAAGTTTACAGCTCACACAAAGCGCGACGCCTTCGCTTTGTCAACCAACGAAGCCATCACATATAAATAGTGCGTAGCCAGACAAATGTACTTCACCGTACGTGATGTCCTGAAACAGGCATATTTCAGTGAATGCGAGCATATCGGGATGAGAACCATCTACAAGTAGACTTAACTCGCACACCTTATTCCTTAGACCGTGCACATTGCTGAGCACTATATGAGGGCATTCGTGCGCTACCAGTACAAGCACCGGAAGCTGTCTTAGACAACTACTGACAGGAGTGAGTGTGAGATTGCTGAACATCCCTCATATTTGCCTCCAAAATGACACCACAAGAATGTTGTGTCGACAAAATAAGATAAAGTTGCGAGTGGGAGTATCCACATCGAAAGCTATGGTATAATGGATGTGACAAAACCGAGAAGACTAGATAAAAAAATAGTAGACACCAGTGAGTAGATCAGGATAATCCTAAGCGAATAAGCGTGAGTAATAAAATAATAATGTGTCAGCTGTACGCCGTAACGGCGCTTCGCTGCCGCGCGACCACCACCAGTCGCGCGCGGGCTGTGTATACCGCGAGGACGCCCACCCCTACATGGATTCGAACCGGTGACCTTATGGTTGTAAACCAAACGTGCAGACCACTCGACCACTGACGTTATAAAATCTGGTGGAGCAATGCCAGGTTGAGTAGGCGAACAAAAGCAGTGCAACTGCATGTGACAGTCTAACTAATGTGGAAGAGTTCTCCATGGAACTTGATACCCCCAGGTTAGTTCAGTACAACTTATCAGTTTTCGTCGATGGACCTAGTCGCCTCGATGCGTCATCAAAAAAGCTTTGTATATATGATCATAATAATAATAATAATAACAATAGTAACGAGTAAGAAGTTAACTTGTTCAATGGAACAGTCTAGGGTACGGAAAGGACGAACTAATGTAATATCGTGGTTGTGCCGCATGCGATAACATGTCCAACTACTGATGTGGCCGGTCACGACGGCATCATCCGGGTGGTCGACAAGAACTAACTCAACTAGGCCGTTTGATGGTTATTTTCGTATTCGTCTGTCATGTCATCGAATAGTCGTCTCAGGATTTCACCTAGCTAAGCGCGGTACTGACAAACAACACGCACAGGTGCAGTCGGCCGGAAGACATGTGGAGCACACGCCCGAGCTAACAAAGGCGATTAGATTTTCACAGGCACAGCAATTAGGCACCACAGAGTATACTTCCAAATGCCACGACAAATTTCAGTATTGCTCACTCAGTCATCACATCAAAAATGACTAATACTTTGTGCGTAACATGGACAGTATTTACTCGACCGATTTGTCGCCCACTGAAACAGTGACGTGCAATCACTTGATCCGCATCAGCACATGCACTTTCACCAGGAGGATATTGTTAGGTCCCTGGTTAAAACTAAGACATTCATGTTCCTCGGAATTTTAATTTCATTTGACCTACATTCTTTTACCATGAACACTACGTCCTTTAGACGCACCATGTGATTTACATTCAATGATCACATTGTCGCACAGATACCAAAACAACATTTGACCTATGTTCATTGGTCCGTTTACGCGTCCATGCACGTGACATCCATGGGTGATCGAGTACTTTAACCCACACCCAATCACGCAGCACCAAGACGCACAACACACAACTGGATAAGCAGTAAATCGATTCGCAAATCTACATCCACATTGATCTCCGCACCGAACCTAATCTGGACTCACAGTCATTACACATGAACACGCAGTAAGCTCCTCAATTTTCATGTGCCATCATTACTCAAACAACAGTGTCTTCTGTATTAATGTCTAAGGCATGACTTTGCAAAATAACCCGAAGTAAGCGGCACTGTTTTGACGCTCTCAGAAAGTAGCAGCCAGGTCTCTGATTCAAACGGCAAAACTAGCCGCACAACGACACTGTAAGCTATTCGATGAAACATACTTGCCTCTCCCTGTCTGCTTAAATGGTTGATGCTTTAACAAATCTCGCGATCTTTAGAAATGTGTAAAGTAACCTATTCGTTGATATGCTAACCAGAGCTGGTACAGCTACTCGAATAAACAAACAGACGAACAGATTCGGGCGGTTGTTCAATGACAGTAAGAATTGAGGGTGGGTAATCCTAATCCTATAATAGTATTTCACAATTGAAGATGGGTAGCACATGCGAAAGCGTGCAACAAATCATGCGAGCCTATCCAGTAGCGCTGTGTTCGGCGCAGAGAGCCGTCCAATAGATGATCGACTACAGGAGGAATGGAATGAAGCAAGGCAGTCATTCTTTTGATCAGAAAATTGAGGAGAAGTAGGGAAATAAGATAGCCTCACTTGTTATGGTGAAATAAGAAAAATATCAAGTAGATCTTTACATGGCCATGGAAATCGTAGTATGTACAAATATTATAGTATAGAAAAAAATAATGGTTGCTCAAGTTGTTTAACTTGTGGCCGGATTGCTCGCTTTAGAAATAGATAATTTCACGAACGGATGGGATGGGCGGTGTTAAATCCTTCCCTGTTCGCGGGTGCTTACGGTCAGGCGACGTTTGAGCCAAAAAGCACGGACAACAACAGCGAAAACGACAAAAGTACATTGGTCATTTGAAGTAATTCTTCATCATCTTACCAGCACAATGACCAACGGATTTAAGAATATTGAGTGGGAGAGAAGGGTACCTGGCGTAAACCCTTAATGCCCTAAGCAAGCATTCAGAGTCAATGATCCTGCAGCTTGTCAACAACATGCCGTCACAAATAGTTGGTTATCGTGCAAGGATAAGGCGGCACTGGTGAGACAGCTTCCATTGCGGCCTTCGCTGCTCCGCGTCATAAGCAAAAATTACGCTGCAGATAGCAGCACAAAACACTGTAAACAGACTATACGATTATGAGATGATAGCAAACGCGCAACTGATGCCGACTGCGAGCCATTTCTTGTAACATCTCGAGTGAAGCACATGGCGGGTCACGTGGACCGAACCAACAGAACTCAGGTTGGTAGTGACTTCATTCCCCACTACCCAGTCAACTTTAGCCCATCTCGAGCCTTGCGAAGTCTTACATCCGACAAACAAGACAAGGAGCTCGTAACTAAGCGATGTTTGGGCATGAGCAGCACGTGCCCAAGCCAACGCAAGTTATTTAATGTATTTGTTCTAAAAAGCTAGCTTGATTATCACCGCCTACGCATGTTGTTGCAAATACCCTGGTGTCGTCCGCCTACCCCCACTACCAGATTTTCCTTAGACTGCCAATATTCAAAATACCTTGACGACACACCTAATATATTTGCATTACTCGACAGCCCACGTTATTTGAAATCAACGCAACGGAAAAGATCGAAGGGTTTCGTTTAACTTCCTGGTGAGTCTATCAGCGTTTGCTTTGCTTCTTTGACGTCACCTCGTTTTCCGAATTAGGCACCGTTCTGTTTTATGGAATATGTTGAACATGATGTTTTTACTTGTCATAAACCAGTTCCATTGTTCTCCTGTACAGTTCGCTCGTGCTGCGATAATTCCCGTTGTCCTACCTACAACGTGACGCATAGCAGTCGAATAGGATGTTGCACAATTGTGGTATGTTGAAATTGTTAGGACCACACGGTGTCATACTAAATAAAAGTCGCCCATCCAAGTGATAAGAGAACAATTACATCGTAAGGTAAAACTATAAGAGTGAAGAACTTCGAAGGTTGAATTAGAACCATAACAAAAAAGTGAAAATTCCCCAAGGATAGGTGTAATAAACTTTCCAGAACTCACAGTTGGATACAGAAAGGGGACGGTATCCAAGACCGCTCTCTCTGAGATTAATTCGCAACCCGATTCCATTTAAAGTGGGGCAAACGCAAGTGTGGAGCCTAGCGCGGATAGCTACACCGAGCTAATCAAGAAACTGAAAAGAAGTCAAACCGGATTCAGAGACGGTGATTGGTATTTGATGTTTTCTTGCAAAGATTTCCAGTTTATTCAGTAATTCTTGGCCTGCAACCAATTTTCTATCGAGCAAAACCCTAGAGAACAGGTTAGGAAACAAAAGAACAGACTTCAAAGCAGAGAATAAATTAGGAGCAATCAGGTCCATGTGACCATTTTCGGCGGCGTTAGAAAATACTATCGCAGAAGGTAATTCTTCTGGAGAGTCCCTGAAGACAAAATAAGGAACGACATCAGGTACTAGTTTACCGCCAGCATCCAATATGACAGTAGTCAGGACCTTTTAAGAGGGTTACAAACTCTGGAGGATCATGAAAGTAGCGATAGCAGAGAGCAAATTTCCCAGGCTCAATGGGAAATGCCAACTCAGAGTGAAGTAACTCAAATGGGCCAACCAAGTGCAAATCCGTCACTTGCTCAAATGCTCCTGAAGCAGCTCGCGTTACTTATGCACAGTGCACTAACGGAGAGGATCATCCGGATTCACAGAGCAACAAAAAGCATAGAACCAAAGATATTCGTCCGGAAATTTCAGGTGAAAACCATGCTGGATTGCGTCCACCCGGGATCTCAAAGGTGAGAGAAACGGAGCTATATTTATATCTAATATTGAAATTTTGTTGTGATCGATAGGAATTAAATGTCCTCTTGAACGCTTGCAACGTTTACGACCAGACATAGAGTTGAGCTTAAAAATGAAGACAAAAAACAAGGTAATAAATAAATAAAGAAGTAAATTTCCTGACAAGAGGAATACGTTCCCATCGAAAAAAATTCACTTACAAGGCCTGGTATGTCGCGAATCTGAGTTAGATGATGTTTTCACTCCAACAAAAGGTTCGGGTGGGCTAGGATTTTCAAACAAGAAGCCTAATATCGCAGTAATGAATTGATTAAGTTGGGGTTAATATGGATTAATGATGCATAATAAACAACAATCAACAACAGCCGTACATCAGGAATTTGAACTGATGCTTCGCTGCTATACAACCATGACAACCTATGGAATAAAAAATACCAAGAGAAAGAGAAGAGGACTTACCTGAAAACCGTAATACCCTAAGCAAACATTCAGGGTCAAGACACCTACACCTTGTGTAGACAACATACCATCACAAACAGCTGGCTATCGTGAAGATAAGGCGGCAACAGCGAAACAGCTTCCTTGCGATTTTTACTACCCCGCGACATAATCAGACATTACCTCGCAGATAACTCAGCAACAAACACACTTTAAACAGTTAGTTCCCTTCAGAAATTTGAAAAGCACGGTAAGAAGACGAAAACTGGTAGATGCATGCATTTCGTATTGTCTCCTGCACTTCACCAGCTTCACACCAGTGCGGTACAAGCGGACCCTTGTGAAAAATTTAGTTAGTCGTGCTAGACGAATTTGCTGCGCTGCTTGTCTAGCCGACGAGCTAGAGTTAATTACAACGACCCTCGTTGCAAATGGTTATCCACGTAGATTTATAGAGACACAGCCAACAGCGAGGCCCGAAAGACTTGGTGCATACGGCAGCCAAGAAAAAGATCTATATCGAGTTGCCATTCAAGGGTGACTTTACTGTATTGAAAACCACGAAACGTTTAATCTCTGCTACGCAGAGAAGTTACTGTGCTGCTCAGGTTGTGGTCATCAATAGAACCTGTAACTTGCCGGTGCCTCCAACGAAGGAAGCTCAACCGATAGGGGCCAACTCACACTGCATATACAAATTCGTATGCGACTGCGGAGACAGTTACATAGGCAGAACCAATCGGTCTTTGACTTCCCGAATAAAGGAACACGTGCCAAGGTGGGTTCAACGTGAAATTGACCAGAATCCCTGTCCCACTGAAGTTCCGTGCTTGCGCAAACCGCCAGCTTCCTCAATAGGTAAACACCTACTGACTACGCGTCACCGGATAGAGCTCGGATCAGCGTTCACACTTGTATTACGTCACCCTAATCCCCGCTTCCTCCGTTTCGCCGAGGCGGTTGCGATAAGCCGGATGAAGCCGGTCCTGTGTGTTCAAAAGCAATTATTTATCAGCTTAAGACTGCCGTGGACATAGGTGTGGAACTTCTGTCATTCATTTTTCACCTTATGCTTATTCGGTCACACACATATTTAAGTATATAGTTGCATACCGGTTATTGTTAATGGTACTGAGGAGACAATACTAAATGCATGCATCTACCAGTTTTCGTCTTCTTACCGTGCTTTTCACACTTTAAACAGGCAGTCCGACTAGGAGACGACAGCAGACGCGTCACTGGTGTCGGTTTCGAGGCATGTCTTTTCAAGTCCCGAGCCAAGCACAAGGCGGATAACATGGACTCAAGCCTGGAAGGCAATACGGACCGACGGCACTCAGTTCGATCCTAAGTTACTTCATTCACCAATGCCCAGTCAAGTTTTATCAACCTCAATCCTTGCGCCACGCTATATCTGGCCGACTAAATAAGGCCTTCCATGTAAGCGGTGACCAGGCATACGTAGTACGTGCCCAAGCCAACGCAACTTATTCAGTACTATCCGTTGTGCTGAGGAACTAGCTTGGTTATCACGTCCTAGTACTCGCTTACACACATAATAATTGTTCCGCAACGATGATCGAAGATTCGAAAGCGCCTCAGACCATCAGACCGAAGGGGCCAAGTCTCACTACCATAGAGCATGACGGCCCTCACAGTGGCCTTGTAAACATGGTCTTTTAGAGGGAGGGAAACTCCCTTGTGTCGCCAAAGATGCCGCAGGTTATATAAGACAGCTCCTGTTTTTGCAATGCGTGTACTGACTTCAGTTTCCATGCGCCCATCGTTGCTGATGCAGCTACCAAGGTAGGTGAATCGACCAACCACCTCGAGTTCGTTGCTGTCAAGGCTCAAGGGGTCACCAAGTGGATTGTAATCCTGCAGTAACACGTTGTATTTTGAAGGTGCGACGCGCATACCAAATAATGGGACCACCCTAGAGAGGGTACTAAGGGTTGACTGGGCCGCCCCAACATCGTCAAAAAGCAAGATATCGTCCACATAATCAAGATCAACTAACTTTTCACGAGGCAGGACCTAAAAGTCTAGACCGTGAGATCCCGCAAAGGAACACTCCATGATGGAGCCCTTTAGCACAAACCAAGCATTTGGACGCCATAGAAGACGTAGTCCAAATATTCGACAAGTGATTCTCCAGAAAACGAACTCGATTCGCCATCCCTCACTAAAGGCTAAAGCGGAACAAAATGCTCAGGAGGGTCAGGTCAGGTCAGGTTCCAAGGACGATACAGGCCACCGCCTAACGAGCGTCCTGTTTCTTGCACCGGTAAGCGAATAAGAGCCTCCGGTACTTCGGCCGGATTTAATTCCGTGACTTCTGCAAGACAGTGAAGCAAAAACATAAGCACTCTCCGTACTGCCATGCAGCACGAGATTGCAGCGACATGATACAATAATATTACAACAATTCGGGAAAAAGTTCAGACCAATACCTAGCTAGGTCTCCTGTAAAGGCCTCTACGACACTGCATTCTATTAATGCCGGAAGTAGTTTATTTCAGCTATTGACTACATGATTTACAAAGAATTTCGCCCTGATATCCAGCCTAGATCTCTGATTCTTGCGCTTCAGTTGGTGTTCTCGCAGGTGATCTGACCCTGCTAGCTCAGAAAGTTCAATATACTGACTGCCACTAAAACACTTCATGACTTCAAAGGTCTCTATTAGACTCTCTTAGTCTGCGTTGTACCATTGAATACAGATCTAAGTTCCTTAGGCGTTCAGCGTATGGCTTGTCACCTAGACCCTCATCCTACTAGCCAGCTTCTGTACTTTTTCTACACGAGTCACGTCTTTCCGGTGGTACGGTGCCCAAGCCTGCACACAGTATTCTAGACGAGGTCTTACCATTGCTTTGTATAAAGGAAGAAAAACTTCAGCTCTAATGCCGCATAAAGATCTTTTGAGGCGAAACAATTCATTCCGCGCTTTGTTGGCAGTAAGCTTAGGTTGCTCTGAAGGTTCGAAGTCATTCGCAACAATGATGCCTAAGGCTCGTGCTTCATCTGCAGATCTGCTTCATCGCAGATCTAGAGGCCGACAGATGCTAGCACCATAATCCCATCATTTTGAGAAGTCAATAACTGGCATTTTCTGGCCTTTAAAACAAATCCCATTTAACCGAACAATGCACTACAGTGGGAAAGCCTTTGGACATGTCTCGAGTACCCCTGCTGACGATCTTTAGATCATCAGCAAAAATATAGCAGGGGTAATGGAGAAGAGAAGTCAAGTCGTTGATAAACATAAGAAACAATAATGGTCCTAAAACGGAACATTGATGAACACCGCTGTGATCAGTGCCGAGGCTTGATCTAGCTTCGCCGACCCTAACGCGAAGGGTTCTACCGCAAAGAAACTCAGAAATCCAAGTAAAAAGTCAAGGATTCAAGCGAAATCATTCCAATTTCGCAAGTAAGAATCGGTGGTGGTGCTAAAGTCCAGGTAACATACTTCAACTGAGACCCCATCATCAAGACAGCTAGTTATTTCATCTAATAAACATGAGACTAGTAAGGCACGATTTGTTCTTACAAAAACCATGCTGCTCGGCTCTAATTAAGTTGTGATTAACTAAGTGCTCACATATTTGTTTTCGAATGTAATATTTCTCCAGTCTTTTGTTCCAAACTCTTTCAAGTCCAAGTAGTGCGACAAGCAGCAATGCGGAATAACTACCTCGTAGACGGCAGGATGCTTAACCGCCTAATAAGAGTCCGATGTAAGGGAAGCAGCTAAGATCAAGCTCAAGTCCAGTTGGGACCGGAACGATAGGATAGATCCGTGAATTTTCCTTCTTTGCGTATCGTCGGATCGGGAATTGATAGGTCTGCTTGACATGTTGGAAAGCCTAAAACAGAGGCCGCATCACACCCTGCCCAATCAATTACTTCCCACATTTCCTGCACAGCAGTCCCTGCCAGGCCGGTTTATCTGAAGTAAAAGAGTGAATGGTAAGCTAAGAAAACAAGATGAAGAATGTCAGCTAAATAAGGATAATACCAAGGTGTGAGAAGAAATTAAAAAACGAAAGGAAAGTTGAAGATACAAATCGGTTAGGAGAAGGGGAAGGTCCGGTACTGCCACCCAAGAGCATCTAACAGACGCTACAAACGCTCTAGGGCGTCTACACGCCCTAACGATGTGCTCCGGAAGCGAGTTCCAGCGTTCAATAACCCGGCGCAACAAGTGAGTTTCCGTCCTAACCCGGTCAGAACGCGGTTTGTGCAGCCTTAACGGATGATCTCGGAGACTAGGCAGCTCGGCGGGACTAAATAGCCAGAACAAGCCTGGACCGATCTTACCCGTTAAGATATTGTAAGTGAGGATCAAGTCTCCTCTAATTCTGCGATAGTGCACTGAGTACATACCCAAGCTAACCAAACTTTCGGGATACGTTTGCCCCCATCATCGTTGCACTAACCTTGTACCCACTTGCAAAACGCTCTCCAGTTCCATTTTGGCCCTTACAAGACAAGGTGGACAAGCCTGAATATAGTATTCTAAGTGGGATCGCACAAAAGCTGGGAACAGCTTCACAAAGACATTGGCCGTTGGGACACCGAAGGAGCGGCGAATAAACCACCTCATACGGAACCCTCTACAAGCAGCCTTCCTCCAATTTTCCCCAGAGTGAAGAAATGAGG